GTCGGTTCTTCACGTCAGATATATAAATACTATTGCATGGGTTATATTAATACTTTTTTTTACATCTACAATCAAGTTTTGTCCTGCATCTTGGAGAGATTACACTTGACTGGTGTTGTGATGCGTTAGGCTGTGTTGGATACTATTACATTTATTCGCGCTTTTATTAGCCAAAGACGGTATCCATGTATTATTATCATGACCTTCCCGAAGCATATTTCCGTTGATTCAGTTGATCACGGTTGCTGGTAATCCATTTTTCGCAGTTTTCGCATTTTTCGATGTTAACGCCATTATATCCTGCTTCAATATTCAAATTACTGCTAATCATTTATTTTTTATTTTTATACTGTTTTAAGCATTGCGACGCTTATATATTAGGAATCATAGTTTTTAAAAATAATGTATCATCACCATATTATGATTTCTTAGTTTCAGTCAAAAATATTTCATAATTCGAGTTAAGCTAAAATGCATTTAATATATTAGAATTCATATGCCCCTACTTAATTTTATTATATACAATATTAAAAACTATAATTAAAAGAAACTAAAACTAGTAACTTAATTATCATACAGTCCTACTCCCCGCGGTATCGTGCCAAGAAGGCTGCGTTTCCCCGCTGAATGGCTATACTTAGCCTTTGAGCGAGAAAAGAACCAGCCGTCATATCACCAGCAGCAACGACCAGACGCGGATAGAGTTCTTTTAGGAACTTCACCCCACGTGGACCCCACGGACCGATAATCTCTACAGCAAATGGCACAAATACGTAGTCATCTCTCAGAGACTCATATCTGCGCAACTTACTCAGTTCAGCTGTCTCTGATGTCGCCTCGGCTCTAAATGAGGTACACCTGAGATGAGAGGCCGCCAAAGTGTCTACGCAAGTAGCATCCCATACTAAGGCTTTACCTTTCTCTCAAGGGACCAATGTCATACCGTCGGGTGTCTTGCCTTTGTCTCTAAATATTCCACAAGGCTCTAAAACCGAGGGAACATTTATAGAGACAAGAGCCCTTCGGTTAACATCGTTCAAAGAACAGTGCCGTGAAAACTTAGCACTATTCTTACACGAAAGTCCGTGGAGCTCAAACTTGTCGACACTGCTACCACAGGGGCACTAATGAGGTTGACAAATCATCGCTCCTAGTCGTATTCCTACAGCGATGCGCAAGCTTTCCCCATCAAGTAATGTGCCGAGATTGCTTGATGGTTAAGCGTGTAACCAGTGACTAGATATCTTAGTCGAAACAGCTAGAAGGCGTGTCTGATCTTGGTCACTATGGAAATTATGAAACAAATTCTTCTGCACGCTATGTAGCAACGGAATATCCCACTGTTTTTGTTGGTTGGTTTACTTCCAGTGCAACATTTTCGCAGAGAAAGAGCGTTCGCCATGTCTGCCCTGCTTCCGTAGCAAAGCACAGGTCTACTTTATTATTTAAAATTATCACTGACTGACACTTTGCACGGAAGCAAGGAAAGCAGGCAATGCAACGCTAGAAAGGTTTCTCACACTAATACCACCAAATTTTATAGGTAAAGTAGCTTGAGTCCAGGCTGTTGTATTTAAAGTTAAATTTAGAATTTTGTCTATAGCTATTTTAAAATTATAATCAATATGTTTTAAAATATCCGAATATTTCCAGACTGGACTCAAGCGGAGTAAGTATGTAAATCTAGGTACAAGGAGACAATATTTTAAAATTGTAAGAGCAAAGTTGGGGCCTAAGTTATAAAATTTATCAACGTGGCTTAAAACTGATCAAATTTTGTTTTTAAATAGGCTTAATACTATCGAAAAACAACGGGGCACCTAGCAGGCATAGCGATTTCGTACCGAGTTTTTATTCCTGGAGTAATATGATTGAAAGTTTGAATTAAAGTGTCTCTATGAGAAGTAGATAAATTATTAAACAAAAATATTTCACATTTATAGCTATTTGATTCAAGATAGGTCTTGAATCAAATAGCTATAAATGTGAAGTATTTTTAAAATTTCGAAAAATATGAGTAAGGTCACTGAGGACGTCATCTGCTCTACCTCCCAGTGTACCGTCGCCCAGGTACCAGACATTCAGCTTGGATTTCAAATTTGAAATGATGTGTTGAATTCCCAAAGTAAAAAGTGCTGGACCTTGTGGGTCACCCTGCTGAACACTGATAGCAGAATCGATAATATGGTTTTCATTAAACAAGTTAGTATTTTGACTGTAAACGTTGCCAAATATAATGATAAATTTCGGGGGTATTGTTAGCCACTTCTTTCAGCAGGTTACCCTATCGATAGAGTTAAAAGCAGTACTTAGGTCAATCTTCACAAGAACATCTCCATAATACATGAGTTTGTTAAAAATGTACGTAATGAATGTACCGCCACCGCACAGCCACCTCAAGTGATAAAGCCTAGTTAAGTAGCCTGAAATTTTGTCTTAAGGTTAGAGAATATGTGCCTGCAAGCTAATTTTTAAGTTAAACGTCGCAATGTGGAACCAACGGAAATAGGACAGATACCGTTATTCTTTTTTTTAAGGCACGTAATCTTGCCCTATATAAGAATGGAATGAAATTTGGATTACCATTACCAAAAAGCATAGTTATATAATTTTGTAATGTCATTAAGAAATACTCTACCGGCGTCGCCGGCAGAAGCGGTGACAAGATCTTTAAAATGTAGAGGCGTAATTCAATGCCGCAAGCAGAGCCATTCGAAAATGACATAATTGCTTCTAAAGTGTCTTTTTCCGAAATTTGTAAAGTTTGCTTCGAAATTTTGGGAGGCAGCGGTAAACTTTGAGAAGAATTGACCGAAAGAGGCTTCTGACGAAGACCTTCAAGAGTTTCCACATTACGAGCAGCCAGGATATCGTCTGAGAATAAAATACGGGATGCATTTTTTAAGTCGCCATCCATTACTTTCGACTCAACTATTCTTTTTAAATCAAATTTAGGACGAGGTTGAGATAAATGAGTATTAATTGGGTAATCTAAATTTTGAAAAGATGTCTCTTTTAGTTCAGACCTAATTGATTTATTTATTTATTGTTTTATCAAAATGAAAATGGGAATACGCGAAAGTAAATCATTATTGCCAACTATTTTCATTATTGGTAAAAATATTTTGAATAGTGCATGACAATGCTTTAGCAAGCCGCATCCTCGCATCTCGAGGAATTCTTTTAACCACTGTTAAATTACGACGATAATTGTAAATTTGCTCCGAAAAAAGGGAAAATCTGTGTCATCAGAAGGATTAGTAATAGTGTTATGAATTTCTAAGGTAGGCTGTGAAGCGGAAATATTTTTACTATGGCATTTATATGAGTTTTACTTTTCTGCACTGCATCTGATATTACATACAATGTTTTAATTTGAAGAAAGTTTACTTATCGTGTGAATTCATTTTTGATATAATATTTTAAATATAATGTAATAGAATATAAAAGTAATAACAGACAATATACATATAAAAACGAAATAAAATTAAACGAAACGTTGAAATGGTTGAAAAATATAAATTAATAATGTGTAAAAGCAGCTCGAATGTTAATAATGCTTCTGCAACTTATTCATAATCAATATTTCTTTATGGGATAAGGTCCAAGGTTCGAGGAAGATGCATTAAAAGTTTAATTTCTTCCCCCAGATTTTCGGGAAATTTTTATAAAGCCTTTTCTTGAAGCATACCTCACGTATGCTCGTCCGGGGGTATTATCATAAAAATAAATATGCTGCTGTAGACGTATAAGAAAATACATTATTATACCAACTTTCTTAGCTCTGCTTTAAGTACAGTATTTACTACTAGGTCTTTAATGATAGGTGGAGAGTTTATTAAATGCTTTTATTAAATTGCATACCACACCGTATTATTTGTTTTCGAGATACAATGTTACTCTATAGGTTTGTGAGAATTGTATGTTTGTTTGTATACAAATTTTATTGAACTGTTATACATTTAGTAGGTTTTAGGATAATACGTGGTAGAGCCATGCTGCAGCTATATTACTGGTATAGTTGTAGCACAAATGGGTGGCCTCGACCGGGACAGGACCAGGCTCTCACAGAATACCAGCGTAAAATAGAAGCTTAGCGCTGCTGTGTTTCGGACGGTGAGTGTAGAGAACCGGAGACACCTTTTTACTGGAAACGAGGCATTTCATCTTATTTCTCACGGGTGACAACGCATCTGCATTTTGATTCGTAATCGAGGATAGATGTAGATGTCTATGGGCCACACCAACCACGTACCATCAGGTGAACTGTGTGCTCGTTTGTCACCCTTATCCTATAAAAAAATATACATACTGAAATCTTATATGAGATATATAAGAGAATTTGTTAAAGAAGTAGTAGTAGTAGTAAGTAGTAGTGCTTCTTTCCTATCTGGTTAAGAGTATGTACACCTCTCTTATCCTTTTTCTGCCGGGAAATTGTACAACCCCTGTTGCTTTCCAGTCTAAAGGATATGAAGTGCTAGTACTCGTATAATTGAAACATTCTATTTCAGCATTCAGAGGTGGCAACCTTGTTTTGTTTCATATGTCAGAGCATAGCCTTTTAATGCCTAGATAATTCTAAATTTTTTGAAAAATGTTGCTAAAAATTATCGGCCTTACTTATAAAATCAAAGTCAATTATTGATGAAATACATAGGGTTACTTTCTCTATTTTCATTAAATGACAATAGCAAGAGACAGTTAAAGCGATAATAGCAATAATCAACTATTGTAAGGTCGTATAATTTTGTAATTACGTGGGGAACGCGTGATTGAACGATTAATATAAAACGTTGGTAAACAATAATAAAATAAAAAAACATTTCGAACAATGTCGGAATTCACGGTTATTGTAAATGGTAGTATGCAATTATAATTTACACAGAAATGTATTTTAATGTTTTTTTCTTATTATCAGTTTTAATTCATTCGATGTAAGCCGTCATCTTCGTTTTGAAATTCTTAAAAAAAAAAGAGTAAGTCCAAAATATAATAAAATGAGTTTTATTAGAACTTTAAAAAATACAACTTTAAACGCCATAAACCATTTGAAGCAAGATAACCTCCAAAGTTTGTTATGGTTGGTGAATTTAATACCATCTATTGCGGAATTTACTAAAGCAACTGGTTTGTATTCATCGTTATTTAAAGATTTTACGTATATTAAGTCGCAAGTCTTTGTCAGACTGACGAATAAAAGAAAGCTTAAAGTTTGAATAATTTTTCCAGCGCCGTTTTGGATTTTGCATTCGTGCCTTCTTATTTACGTTTATGGAACCGGAAGTCTTGTCTATCAAATTAAGTTTGCACAAGGTGCTGGGGATTTTATAAAAAGTTATGTAAATATATCAATACTCACATTAACAGCAAATAATACTTATTGGTTCTTGATGCAGAGGTTAGTACGAGTACCATTCTATTAAAGTTTTTAGATAGTGCGTGTGTAAACTGAAATTATTATAAAAATAATATTAGAGTTTAAAAAGATACTTAAAAAACATGAACTGAGCATGAGCTGTAATGATCCTAGTGAAAATACTAGTTCATAGTCATGAAATTATTATATTGTCATCACTTCTTAATACGACTACAAAATTTCAGAGTATTCTGATGTCTTGGAATAGATAAGAACGCAATCATAAAATTTCATTTATACATATAGGTCAAGCATTAAAAAAATCTTTATATTCTATTACTTTTTCGTTTGGCGAAATTTTATAAATTTTTCTCTAAATGCTGACATCAGTTGAAAATACTTGTTCACATTGGTGAATTCTAGCGAAGCTCTTACCTTGATAAACATTTCCAATACCTACAGTGTATTTTAAAATATTGTTAAAGGAAGAAAGAAACAATAATTCTATTTTTCTAACGACTTCAAAAAGAGGAGGTACTCAATTCGGCTATATGTTTTGTTATGTGTTACTCATAACTTTTTTCGGGGTGAACCTTTCTTTATTTGAAAGCTGGTGCCTCTCGTGTGGTCCCATATAAATTTCATCAAGGTCTGATCAATAGTTTTTGGGTTATTCATAATAATTATTGTTGAAGTCGTTTGTCCAAAATTTTTAATTTTAAATTATTTTAAATAGAAATCACAAACAATTTCACTGTAGTGAGTGAGTGACTGCAGGCCAGGGATAGTGGTAAGAACTGCTAACAAAGAAAGCTGCAGATGTTGTAACCGCTCTTTATATTCTTTAAACTGGAATAAAACAGGTACCTAGTTACTCTCTGCTGCTTCGCGACAGAAACACGTGGGTGGCATCTATTCGGTCAGACTTCTAGGCAGAAAGGATAGATAAAACAAAACAATTTTTACGGATTTTGTCGGGATTAGAAAATTAATTCATTAATTACAATATTTTACTTTTCACAGCATAAAAGGCAATATAAGAGGTAACCGACCAAATACTAGGGAATAATAAGTAGATCTTCCTGGAATGTCAAAGTTAAAAAATATGCAATTGCCAACTCAGTTGGGAGACTCCTCACATTTGGGAGAGACCTAATAATAATTACTAAATTATAATTATTAAATCGTGAAGTGCTGTAATGATGATAGTACTCAGTGTCGTAACGGGTGAAGTGAACAATTGTTGTCATATAATATACAAAATTTGACCTGCTCAAAGTCCAAAAACGTTACTATACTAAGTTTTCATACAAAGGGTTTTTACAAGCTTAAGAAATTTATGGATGATAATAACTCCTGGGAATGTGGTGATCGCTATCAAGCTATTTCTAATTTGTTTTGTGTTGTTGATTGTGCAATGTGTAACATTAATGATTGTAACCTGTTATTTTTTTAAAAGCCCCGCTTGGTTTCTTGCTCGTTCTTCCCAGGACAAAGGTTTTTTTTTCCGAACCAGTGGTAATTAAATTAAAAAAAAGACTTTCAATAAGTATTATTTATAAGTTTATATAATTATTTATTGTTCGAGAAACATCGTCGAAAAATTTAATAAGTTTAGCAAGTTTCATCTATTCTATTCATATACATAATATTGAAGTGTCGGGGTGTAATATCGAAATAGGTGGCTTCTGTTAAGCTGAGGCATGCTATTAAGACATAAAACATTACACTTTTTGTGTCTGTTTTTTGTTTGTCACTAAATTTTTCACTACATAATATTGTATTCGAAAAACCTGAAGGTTATTTTCTTTGAAAAGAAAAACGAAAATTTTGATGATATAAATCTGATTATCTTCTATTAGACTCTAATGATGTTACATTAATAGATCCTATCCAGGTGAAACCAGAGCGGGTCCCTAGTTTCTAATAGTTTCTTGCATTTACCGAATGAATTAATAAAATTAATAAGAATATTCATTGAATAAAACCAATTCCATCTGTGTTAAGTATAAGTAAAAACTTATTATTATTTTTGTTATTTAAGGTCTCTGTTTAAATCAGTGCTGAAGAAGGTTATTAAGAACGATGAGTTGTCCCGTCAATCGGATTTCCTTCTGAAACGCCACAGTAAACTGATGTCGGTTATCAAGAAAATGCTGCTAGTTTTCTACGGTTTAAATTTAATTAACGTTTTCGCCATATATCTACCACATCGAGTTGACGTAAAAAATAATTATTACTCTATGACACCATGTGTGGGTAAGGGAATTAATAGTTATTTAAACATTTTTCTAATTCAGATTTTAAGGCATCAGAGGCAGCTGAATCAATTAAGTGGCGCAAATATGAGTCTTTGAGAAATGACTAACACGTTTGTGCTATTTGCTGTAGAAACTATCGGTTCGTGGGGTCGACGTGTGGCGAAGGTCCTAAAGGAGCTCTATCCGCGACTGGTCGTCGCTGCTGGTGATAAGAGGGCTGATTCTTTTTTCGCTCAAAGGCTAAGTGTAGCCGTGTAGCCATTCAGCGAGGAAACGCAGCCAGTGTTCTTTTAGTTTTAGTTTTGCTTCAATTTTGTTTTTTTTAAATATTGTGTGGAACCTTTTAATTAGATTTAATTTTATACATTGTTTTAACAATGTAAATAAATAAATTTTAGTTTATATGACAATATAATGTACAGTGATTTTGATATTCAGATCTTATTACCTTATTTATTTTTTAGGCCTTGAACCATTGTCTAAGACACCGAATAAAGAGTTTTGTTTAGCGATACTCTTCACTCAAGAAGCTACCTTAATAACCGTCGTGCTCAATTATCAGGCGCTGTTGATGTTATTGATATCTCATACTACTGCTATGTATGAATTGATGGCTGATGAGATGACAGCTTTCAACACCGCAGAACACGGCAGTAACACAATAGTAAAAGAAAAATTACCTTCTTTAATTCGACGGCATTCTTTAACTCTGGAAATAGTTGACGATTTAAAATTATTGTATAGTGTGCCTATTGGGGTAAATTTTGGCTCAAATGCCGTTTGTATATGTTTATTTTTTTACTTGCCATTACAAGAATGGGTCAAGTTTATGCCAGTGTTAGTTTATTGTTTTTTAGTATATTTTCTGTACTGTTTCCTTGGTCAAAGGTTGATTAATGCCTCGGAAGAGTTTGAAAGGTCTGTCTACTGTTGCGGTTGGGAGAATTTTGAATTAAACGAAATGAGGCAAATATATTTGATGTTCATGCAGGCTCAAAAACCAGTGGAGTTGCTGGCTGCTGATATTATACCTGTTAATATATACACATTTGCCAGAACTTTACAAGGCATGTTTAAATTTGTAACCGTAGTAAAATTTTAAAATATCTTTCTGGCAGTTTACATTTGGATAACTTATACGTTACCAACATTTACTACGCTCACCAAATAAATTAAAATTACATGCTCACCCGAATGCGGCTCTTGAATAGCCACGTTATCAAAGGCACGCATATATTTATGCACAGCTTGACACTGTATATGTCATTATATTTTGTGCAATTTTGAAATATATGTATAATGTATTAAATAAAACTTATTTTATGGATCCTATCGCGTTTTATTTGAAGACATTATTAATTTCAGACGTTTCTAAAGCTTTGCAATACTCGTAGTTACGTAAAACATAATTAATTTATTATTATTATGCTAAATTAATATTATTCATCATCATCATCATTACTGCTCTTCACAAGTCAAGTGCTGAACATCATTCTGTCTAGTGGGGGGAGGGGGTCTACATTTCGCCTTTTCGCCTAACGATACGAGGCTGCCACTCGAGAACCTTCTATCTTCATCTTCGAGCTATATGGCCGGGACATTGCCACTTCAGCTTACTAATTCGTTGGGCTATGTCATTTACTCTGATTCTACCTCCACTATCCTCCTTTCTAAGTTTATCACGCAGAGAAAACCCGAGCATAGCCCGCTGAGCGAGCTTCAGGTTCCCCGTACGGCCAGCAGTGGAGGACCGTCTCAGATCCATTAACCATCATTGGCAACACGAACTGGTTGTACAATCTCGTTTCTTATGATTACGACACATCTCGTCAGGTGTCGTAATCTTCCGAACGCTGCCCGACCCAGTAGAATCCGTGGATTAACCTCTCGGTTGAAGGTGAATTCACCTAGTCCCAGGTTAACATCCTTGTCAACAATTGCGAGCTTAGTGCTCCCAACAACTACCGGCATAGGTGTGTCTTGGACGTTACACATGAATTTTATTTCGTCCATGTTCATTTTAAGATCCGTTGGGAGGCACTATTGAGGTCATTGGGCATAGTGCTGAGGAACTCCAGCGGTTCTGCCATAAGGGCTATATGGTCAGCAAATCAAAGGTGAGTGATGTATTCGCCATTGATATTAATTCCGTATCCTTATACCGTATCCATTGTAGCTTGAAAACGTCTTCCAATGTAGCGGAGTAGATTTTCCGAGATATAACGTAACACTGTCTTACACCTCTCTGCAGTTTGATAGGTTTGTACTCTGGTTCTGTACTCGGATAGCCATTGTTTTTTTTATAGGAGAGGGGGGCAAATGAGCATGCGGCTCACCTGATGGTAAGTGACCACCTCCGCCCATGAACAACCGCAAAACCAGGGGTATAGCAGATGCGTTGCCGGCCTTTTAAAAAGGAATAGGCTCTTTTCTTGAAGGTCCTTAAGTCGTATCCGGAAAAATCGCTGGTGGTAATCGATTCCACAAGGAAGTTGTGCGAGGAAGAAAACATCTTCATCATTCATCTATATTTTGTTTATAGTGTACTTCTAGGCACTATAAACGATTTTGTAATTCGAGCGGAAAGTTTTCGGGATTTTGGATTAGAACACAAGGGAGCGTTGACTTCATTAGACGTGACCTTTCCAACTTAACGTTTAGGTTCAGTGTGCTTCTCACGATTCGGTGATCGCTGCCGGTTTTCACCCTCGTGGTCACTGAGACATCACTGAAAAGTTGCCGTCTAGTCGTCATAATGAAGTCAATCTCATTTTTGTCGAATCGTCGGAGCTTGGCCAGGTCCACTGTGGGGCCGCTTCTGGAAATAAGGTCGCTTTTTCTCCATGAAGTCGGCCAACTGCTGGACCCTAGGGTTCCGTTGCCCTATTCCGAATTTCCCTACTTTCAGCTCACCGTTCTCTCGTGTGCCTAGTTTTCCGTTGAAGTCTCCCATTAACACCGTATAGTGGGTTTTGAAGGAATGCATGGCTCTCGTTATATCCTCGTACATTTCCTCTGCCTCCTCATCGGGATTTGCCGAGGTTAGTGCGTAAGCCTGTATGACCTTCAGGGAATACCCTTTGGTGATTCTGAGTGTAAGGTACGCAATCGTCGTCGACATACACCCAGTCTTTACTACATTGTTGACAAGAGACTTGTGGCCACGCATGGCGAACGGGTTAGCAACAATTGTCACTTTGCTGTTATCAGAAAGATGCTGCTGCCCATCTTCTGCCTCAGTTTCCCTCTGTCCCTTTTGTTACACCCACGGGAAGATATGGCGTAGTGTGTATTCTTGCTCGCCACTATAATACAGGGTAAATAAATATTACTAAATACTATTAATTATTAATTTTATTATTATTTGAATGCGTTATAGCGGTATAAGAATCCAATGTCTCATATCTTACCGTGGCTGTTGTAATAATAAATTAATGATTTTTTTTTTATTAATTCATAAGTACAATAAAATATCGATGTTTCTCAAACGGACAAATTTATGAAAAAAATGAGATATATGTTTTATATTTCATTAATACCACGGAATCGATGAATGGAGGTGCCTCAGAACCGTTTTTATGGAAATCTGTGGGGAGGCCTATTTTTAGGGCAAAGTATTGATTTAATTTTATTTTAGTTAATTATAAAAAGGTAAGAACAAAGATTGTCCACTGTGTGTGGCGGTGTAAGAATGTCCATTGCCCATTCCGTCCCATGGGTCTCGTAAGGTGGTGTTGGGTTCGGATGACGTAAGGGGAGACAGAGAGAAATGAAATAAAAGATGGGCGGTAGCATCTTCCTGGTAACAGCTCAAAATAAAAATCAAAATGTAGATGAGTTGTCATATCTGAGGAGTAGGATGGAGTGCCTCGTTACCAGTATGTAAATGGTTATACGGTTCTTTACAATCACCATGAGAATCCCAGCAGCATGCTTCTATTTTACACGGGTTATTCTCTGAGAGCGTGATCATGTTGCGGCACGACTACGGTTCTTACGGTGACGCCACGATTTGAGAACGAAAACTAAGCGAGAAATCGAAAATTTTTATTCTTCCCTTCGGCGTATCTCGTCGAGATCTATGCGAATCCGCTTTTAAAAACGTGGTACCGTAGGAACCATTGAAGCACCCAATTTCTTGCCAATCGATTCGTACTATCATACACCCAATATCACCTTATTTTATAGTAGAATAAGATTACATTGTGTGTATGATGACGGCAAAGACGAATTTCGCAATACGTGTTTGGAACTTGTCTATATTTTGATCATGATTTCTTTATAAATCATAATTGAGGTAGCGAGAAATGCATCAATACAGTGGTTTCGGTTTCTTCTACCTCTCTCTCATCCGCTCGTAAAAGCCTACTGCTGGATTTGGGTCTTATATCTAAACAAGAAGAAGTCAACATTTCGCGATTGGAAGGCGAAATAAATGAAAATCCATAGAATTAATAATTAAAAAATTGCTAATTAATCACCATATGCACTATCCCCGTCACCACCAATCCCAACACCTGACGATGCCTCGTTTAGAGGCGAAACACGAGCCGTATTATCGACGGTGGTGTGCCTTTCCTAGTGTAGTGATGTCGAGAGTGGTATTGGGATTAGTGGTGACGAGGATGGTGCATGTAATAAAGGGAGGGCGAGAGGTGCTCTTCAAACTAGTTAAGATACATAATTATATTCTATTACGCGGATCTTAGATAATTACTGTCTAACAAACTTAATTGAAACAAATTAGCGATAATTTCATTAAATATAATTTATAAAACACTGCGAAGACACTACATAAACCTTAATCAAAGAAATTATTAGCTTTGGTTTTATGTACAGAATTTTTCACTACCTCGATTTCAATAATAGGTGAAAAGCTTGTAATTATGGAGTAGTAGCTCAAGTACTATGTCGACTTTTGAATTATACTCGTTCACTGTGATTATACGCTTGCCGATTTTCTTTTAGCTGTAGCACTATTGTACAGGTGAAAGGATATTTAAGGAAACAATTACATTTATCGACGATATTAAAAACAGTATCTTTTGTCACAAAATAGTTTTGTCGTTGTTTATTTTGTCGTGTATCGTCAAACGTCATTTATCTATGTGTAATAAAATAAATAATTTGGATACATGCCACAAGTAACTAATAGGTATAGTTGACAAGATGCATTCAGTTTAATTTCTTCCCCCAGATTTTCGGGAAATTTTTGTAAAGCCTTTCGTTGAAGCATACCTTACGCATGCTCGTCCGGGGGTATTATCATAAAAATAAATATGCTGCTGTAGACGTATAAGAAAAAACATTATTATACCAACTTTCTTAGCTCTGCTATGAATGCGGTAGAGTTTATTAAAGCTTTTATTAAATTGCAACCCACACCGTATTATTTGTTTTCAAGATACAATGTTACTGTATAGGTTTGTGAGAATTGTATGTTTGTTTGTAAACAAATTTACATTAAGTAGGTTTACACGTAGTAGAGTCATGCTGCAGCTATATTACTGGTATAGTTGTAGCACAAATGGGTGTCCTCGACCGGGTAAGGACCACGCTCTCACAGAATACTAGCGTAAAATAGCAGCTTAGCGCTACTGTGTTGCGTAAGGTGAATGTAGAGAACCGAAGACACTTTTTACTGGAAACGAGGCATTTCATCTTGGTCTTTTTTTTAGTTTGTTGCCCTTATCCTATAAAAGAAACATACATAAAAAATCTAAAATGAGACATATAACGAATTTGTTAAAGAAGTAGTAGTAATAAGTAGTAGTTCTTCTTTCCTATCTGGTTAGGATTATGTACACCTCTCTTATCCTTTTTCTACCGGCAAACTGTACATCCACTGTTGCTTTCCAGTCTCAAGGATATGAACACATATCACAGAATGTCAGCGTGAAGTAGAAGTTTACTTCTGCATTTCGCCTGGTGAGTACAAATGTAGATGAGTGCAGATACTCCCCCTCATCAACATGGTAGGAGAATTAAATGGACGTTTACACATCGTAGGAGAATTAACTCTCCTACTCCTACACTCCTTTGTGCCCCGGGCTGGAGTTTGCATGTACGTCAGAGAGGACATCTCTTTTCGACGCCTCAGCA